TTATTATTATTATTATTATTATTATTATTATTATTATTATGCATAAAAACAAATAAATAAATAAAGCTGTAATCTGAAAGTCCCTATTGAATCTGGAAAACAAACAAACAAGTAGTTCATCAGTTTAGAGTGCGGAGCTGAGCTGGACAAAGTAATATGGTAGTAAACTCATTGGCTCCAATCTAAATAAATAACGAACAGATATAAAGCCATTACAGTGGACCTTCCACATTTGCTGGGGTTAGTTAGGGGTGCAGGATCCCTCTAAGAGCAGAAAAAACACATATAAAAAACTGTGTTTTGTTTCATTTTTTAACATGAGAGAACACTTCTCTTGGAATCTAGGTCCTCCAGCACAATTCTGTGGTCAACATCTGCCAGAAACTGACCACAGATTTGTGCTGGAGGACCTACAAAAGCCTAGAGAAGTGTTCTCTCTAGTAATCTTTAGATCTTCCATCATGACCTCTGGAAGATACTGACCACAGAGTTGGGCTGCCGGTCCTAAAGATTCCTAGAGATAACATATTACTTAAATCCGTGGATAATTAAGCCACAAAATTCAAAGCTGCAAATACGACGTGATGACTGTATTCTGAAATTGTCTGGACTTCTATTCTCTGTTTGAAAGGATAGTCAGGTGCTTTAAGTGTTTTCTTGCCAAGAAAACCCCATGATCAGCTTAGGGTCACCCTAAGTTGGAAATGACATGAAGGCACACAACAACAACAATTAAAAAGGGTAAAGTTCTGCCCCCTCCTCTCCTCTCCTTTACTTCTGCTGAGTTAACTGAGTGCAAACTACATTTCCATTTTGATTTCAGTTTGCAGCAATTGGAACAAAGGAAAAAGAGAGAAAGTGGGAGGAGAGAGAAACTGGGACATTTGAATAGTAGCTGAAAAAGTAGGACAACACAAGATTAATCAGGACTGTCCCTGCCAGATTGACAGTTGGAGGGTATGCAATTTCTTGCTCCAAGACCCTTTGGGGTCTACTAAATATGCCCCCACAAAATTAATGTCTAGAAGTTCTTTGGTGTTGAAAAATTGGTGAGGGTCCCCCCCCCCCGCCATTTTTAATGTTAATTTGTGTAATAGCACCTTGCAATCCATTTCAAGGGGAAACAGCTGTTCCTGAGACTTTCAAAAGAGGCAGTTCATGGGGAGTGGGGAGAGCCATCAAATGCTGCAAAAACATGCTGAAAAAGTGGGGGAGCTGCATGTGGCCCCATGGCCACCCTTTGCCCACCCTGCACTTGACAAAAGAAATCTGGAAGCACAGCATCGGATATTAAATATTGTAATAATCCTGAATCAATGCACTATCTTCTCTTCCACTCCATCCCCCGTGTTCCAACTTTCTGTACACAATGTAGGCTTTCTGCCTTGTATATTTAACCGCCATCTGGTATTCAGGCTGGGACACAATATCACAACCACATTAATCACCCGGCACAGATGCAAATCAGCATCATGTTGTAAATGGTGTTTACACAGGCCCACACAGACGAGAATATGGCCAGAGGGGGAGGTACAGTTCTGATTTCCAAGATACAGGGACTAAAGGAGAAAGGAAGGCCATCGCTTCTTGGATAGTGGCATCTCCACACCTCTGAACAAGAATTTCTCCCACTACCTGGAGCTTTGAGCCAGGGTAGTGTAGTGGTTTGAGCACTGGATTATGGCTCCAGAGACCAGGGTTCAAATCCCCCCCTCAGCCACAGAAACTGACTGGGAGACTTTGGGCAAGTCACACTCTCTCAGCCTCAGAGAGGCAAAGGCAAACCCCTCTCAACGAAGCAGGTCAAGAAAACGCCGTGATAAGAGGTTACATTGGAAATGACTTGAAGGCACACCTGGAGCTTTAGGTGATGTGGAAAAATCTCTACTCAGATGTCATTTTTTTTTAACGCAACGATGCGAATAATCTCACTCTTATTCCAGTTTTGTTATTCACACTACGGAGCTGCATCTCTGCACGTTTGGTGCTCACATGTGGCAGCACTTGAATAAAGATGGAGCCGATGAAGCAGACGTATTCGAAGCACGTTCAAGGCATGCAGACTTTTATCCCAGTTTATTCCAGATCTATTCGCATCAGTCGTTCACACAGCTGACGATGCAAATCTTTTAGAAAAACTTGAGCAAAATATCCAAGATTGATTATCCTGGGTTAAGGGGGAGGGTTGGGTTTGACAGGGCCTCCCTTAAAAAAGCTTAATCACATGAATTCAAACAACAAAGATTCAACCCATATTCTACCTAGATTATTTTCACCATCTGAATAACCCCTCTGATCCACAAGGGAGAAACAGCTTTCCTTTTAAAAAAAAAATCCTAGATTTTGGGGCCCTGCAGATGAAAGGCTTGGAAAAGTTACTTTGCCTGTGTTTCCAAAGCTCTCATTCACCTGGAAGAAATGTTATTTAAGAGAGAGAGAGAAGAAGAAGGAAGAGGAGGGGATCAAAACCAGGAGGGAAGGAGCTCCTTTCCTGATCTTCCTGCCCCACAATAGCATGATTATCAGAGAAGGCAAAAGGGGGGTGGCAAGGGATGCTCAGGGACCCTCCTTCTGCAGAGATTGCAAAAGCAATTGCAAAAGCAGAGCTTGGGGAAGTTACTTTTCCTAACTGAAGGCCTAAGCAGACTGCCAGAAATAGTGCACATTAAATTGAGGCACTGCCCTGGCTCAGTGCTAGGGCATCATGAGAATTGTATTTTTTTCTGAGACATTGAGCCTTCTTTGTCAGAGAGCTCTGGTGCCACAATAAAATACAGTTCCCATGATTCCCTAGCACTGAGCCAGGGCAGTGCCTCAATTTAATGTGCACTATTTCTGGCAGTCTGCTTAGGCCCTAAACCGGTTGGAGGCAATTTGGGAAGAATATGAAAGAAACCATTCCACCCATTTCTGAAGCAACCCAGGAAGCCTTTTATTATTATTATTTTAAATAATTTTAAAAAACAACTTTTTATGGGTGACCAGAGGATGTCCTCAAGCGCAAAGGGATGCACGAAATGGAGGCCATCTGACCAAGAAAAACAAATCTGATTGCGGGAGAAAGGCGGGAGAGAAATCCTTGAAATAGGGTGTTTTGGGTGTTGGGACCATGACTCTGGAGACCAGGGTTCGATCCCCAGCTCGGCCATGACAACCCACAGGGTGACTTTGGGAAAGTCACACTCTCTCCGCCTCAGGGAAGGGGGGAAGGCAAACCCCCTCTGAGCAAGAAAAGAGATGCCACCTCAACATTGGGAGGAACTTCCTGACCAGAGAGGCTTCATATTTTGTCTCCAGAGCCAAACCACTACATTCATGTGGTTGTGATATTATTGTCCCCCAGCCTGAATATCAGATGGTGGTTAAAAAAAATTCCTTATACATATATATATATATATATTTCCAGGACAGTGTGTCTCATTTGGTTGTGATTATTATTATGTCCCAGTCTGAATATCAGATGGTAGTTAAAAAAATATTCTTTTTATATATAAGTGTGTCTCTAACTTTTCTTGGGCCATGTCTTCCTACATGACAAAAG